ACTTATGCACGTTATATTACTTACTTTGTTGTTGTTTTTTTTGGTTTGGTTTGGTTTGCTTACGTACGTTATATTACTTACTTTGCTTGCTTTTTGTTTGTTTTTGTTTGGTTTACTTACGCATGTTATACTACTTACATTGTTATGTTTGTTTGTTTTACTTACGCACGTTATGTTACTTGCACTGTTTTTGTCTTTGTTTTTGCTTTACTTACATACGTTATATTACTTGCATTATTTTGTTTGTTTCTTTGTTTTTGTTTTTCTTTACTTATCGTACCGTTTACTTACAAACAATGCTTTGTTTGGTTATTTTTATCTTTACTTACTTTTCATATCGTTTACTTAATAATACTTGCATTAATTGCCTGCTTGTCTCTTTTACTAACTTAACGTTTACTTAAAAATACTTACATTACTTTATGTTCATTTTTCCTTTTACTTACTTATCGCATCGTCTTCTTGACAGTACTTACATTGTGTGTTGTTTTCCTTCCCTTCCACCTACTTATCGGAGAGATAGAAAACCGGCGAAGGGCAAAACAAGGAAAAGTCGATAATTGGGGGAATAAGGGTGGAAAGTACCAGGATAATAACCTGTTGTCATGGAAGTTATGTTCAGAAAACCGTACGATAATTTATTAGAAAGGGGAGAAATCAAGTAAAAAAATGATGTAGGGATTATCCAGAAAACAGTTCGATAAGTAGAAAGAGAAAAAAAACCAATGTAGATATAAGCAAGACAATGTAAGTATTATTAAGTAAACGGTATAATAAGCAAATAGAAAAATAAGCAACAAAGCAATGTAAGTATTATTAAGTAAATGGTATGATAAATAGATAAAAAAGAAAATAAACAACAAAGCAATGTAAATATTATTAAGTAAACGATACGTTACGTAACAAATAAAACAAATACAAACGAAAAAAAAACAATAAAAAGTACAATAAAAACAGTACGATAAGTAGAAAGGAAAACAAGAATAAAAACAAACTATATATAATTCATATAAAGAAAACGGTACGATAAGGATTTTTTTTAATCAAGCGTAATATAAGACAGAAAATTATGTCACGCAAATAGAACGATATGGAAGTCACAGGAAAAAAAACGGTTATGCCCAGAAACCACAATAAATGAATGGGAAGCGAAAGAGAGAGTAAAAAAGGAACCCATAAAACAGATATATAAGAAAATGTGACAAACTGTATTTCGCAACTATATCCTCGTCTGCTAATAAAAGTTTCCGAATAGTGTTTTTCTGTAATATTTCCTGTACTATTTTTTTATATTACTCCTACTAGCATAAAGCTTAATAAAACATCAACGTGATATTAGCAGCATATTCTGGTATTAACCCTTATTACAGAACCTGGTAGTTTTGTAATTAGTGTACAGTAGAATGAGTACGACACCTTACTCAAGACTTACTCAAAAGACATGAGATTATTATTTGGGAATAAGATTCTGAAAGAGATTGTCCACTGTAATTGTAGTAAACGATAGTGATGAATAGGGTAGTGCAGATATTCGTTTTTTTTTTCTGTTCTTTCTCTGTCTCTGTCTCTGTCTCTGTCTCTCTTCTCTCTGTCTCTCTCATATATATATATATATATATATATATATATATATATATTATATATATATATATATATATAGTCCTCCTTTCCACTAATGACCAAGCCACCTATTCACGATAAACAAACATCCCAATTTTAGTCTTAGTTCGTCTCCTAGTTATAGTTTCCTCCCTTTTCAAATCCTCACTCTGCTCTCTTAAGTAGGTCGCCTTTTGACCTGACCTGACCTGCCTCACCTTCTTGTGCTGGGTGTCACTTTTTCACTTTTCTTTCCTCTGACTTTTTAGACCTTAAGAAATTCAAGGTGATCTTGTAATTGTCTCTCTCAGTATATCTAAGGAGTGCATATTTCTTAACATAGGATCAATATACAGTAGTTCTATCTCCTTATTATATATATATATATATATATATATATATATATATATATATATATATATATATATATATATATATATATATATATATATATATATATATATATATATATATATATATATATATATGTGTATGTGTGTGTGTGTGTGTGTGTGTTGTGTGTGTGTGTGTGTGTGTGTGTGTGTGTGTGGTGTGTGTGTGTGTGTGTGTGTGTGTGTGTGTGTGTGTGTGTGTGTGTGTGTGTGTGTGTGTGTACGGATGTATAGGTGGGTCGGTAGGTATGTGTCATTGTTTTTTGTTAGGAAGAAAGGAGAAGGAAATACCAGTCTGTGCATGTGCATGTTTCTGTAAGCGTATATATTTACGTCTCCTCTCATACACACAACGCACGTTCAGTCTTACACACACGTAAAAGGGAAAAAGATGCACCAGCAAGCAAGGTCAGACAAATGCCTCGCATATCTTAGGCAACGATATGCCTGCTACGTTATCTCATGAGAAGTAAATATGTAATTGGATATCAAACCGTCTGGCATAATGG